TCTCCCTCTCTCCCTCTCTCCCTCTCTCCCTCTCTCCCTCTCTCCCTCTCCATTTATGTCTATCCATCTGTCCCTCTCAGTCCTTCTCCCTCTCTCCCTCTCTCCCTTTCTCCTTCCCCCGGTTCATCGTGGTATGGCTGGGCGCTTGAGCCGATGGCCAATTACTTCCTCCTGCCTGTCTTCTCTCTCTCCCCCTCCCTCTCGCTTGGTCAGCTGTAATGGAAGATGAGAAGCTGAGAAGAATTGGGTGTGATGGACGTCAGGGACGGAGAGAAATGATGTAAAACGGGGAGAAAGGAGAAATGGGAAGTTGCTAAAAGAAGGGAAGAAAGAGGGAGAGGGAGGTGGGAGAAAGAGGGTGCGTGGGTGGGTGGGTGGGCGGATGATGGTGGTGTGTGTGTGCGTGTGCGTGTGTGTGTGGGTGCTTGTGGATTCTGAATCGTGGAGCTCAGTACAGGGAAAAAACGTCCTGTGCTCACTGTACGCGCTGAGGCAGTACGTAATTATATTATTTATGAACAGGTGGAGCTTTCCTTACCTCTTCCCCCTCCCCCTTTTTTCCTTTTCCTTTTTTCTTTCCCCTTTTTTGCGCTCTGATTCACAATGTGACAATATATATATATAATAATAAAAATAAAAATGTGGCGAATCAATCCGTGATATTGTCGATGTGTACCGTCATCACCATGTGAGATGTAATTATAACCAACATCATGCAATTTTTTTTTATAATCATTATCCTTTCGGTGCCACATCATCCGTGCCAGTTAAAAGGACATAGGCAAAAAAAGGACCCCCTCCCTCTCCCGCCCTCCCTCTAACCCCCCTCACCCGGGAAAAAAAAAACAAAAGCAAAAGCAAAAGACAAAAAGGGAAATAAGAAAGGACTATGATTACCATTGGCTTTGCCATTTCACCATCATCTTTATCATTGTCGTCCTTTCCAAAAAAAAAAAAAAAAAAAAAAAAAAAACGTAAACGCCGTGACCACTCCGGTTCCTCACACAGCTATACCCAACTGCTCACTTGACCGCAATTTTATTTTTTTTTATGACAGGAAGAAAAAAAGAAAAAGTTTTCTCTCTGGAAAAAAAGAGGAAAACGTTTCTGACTGGAAAAGGCGCTTGTGACAGAAAAGAAAAGTTTTCTGATAAAAAAATTTGGACAGTTGGTGGCAGCTAAGGAGGGCCTACCGTCTTCCCCCGAACACAACGCATCCTCATTTTGGCTGTACCTGACCGGAAATATAGCTTGTATACATTCATTGTCAGGGTGCGTAATGTTTGGGGGAAGGCAATAGTTGCACCGCACCACTCGCCATCGGCCAAGATATTGAACGCATCTGGACGGGGTCATGTCCAGGTGCATTCGAAAAAAAACTTGGCGGATGGCGAGTGGTGCATCTAGGGCCCCAACTGTCCACACCAAGCCGGAAAAAAAATAAATGCATTGCAGTCAAAACAATTGTCATCTGACAGATAAAGTTGCAGAACGGGAGCCAAAAGAACTGTCCCTGCTGATACTTCATCTTCTGACGCTCATCTGTCAGAAGAGGGAGGAATTGCTAAGCACGCCATATAACCGCAATCAGCCAATGAATTGGAATCTCATCCAAATCTAATCTAATCCAGTCCAATCCAATCCAATCCAATCCAATCCAATCCAATCCCATCCAATCCAATCCCATCCAATCCAATCCAATCCAATGAATTGGAATCTCATCCAAATCTAATCCAATCCCAATCCAATCCAATCCAATCCAATCCAATCCAATCCAATCCCAATCCAATCCAATCCAATCCAATCCAATCTGATCCACAATTCAATCCATCCAATCTACCCTGGAGCATAATCCATTACGCTATCCGATCTAATCCAATCCGATCCGCAATGCAGTCCATCCAATCCAGTTCACAATCTCATCCACTCCTACACTCCACTCGACTCCACTCCACTCCACTCCACTCCACTCCACTCCATTCCACTCCACTCCACTCCAATCCGCGGTTAGCTCTAGTCCCCACTATGGAGTCACCATTATTGAATTCCCAATCAATCAGAAGGCCAAATCCAATCGCCAATCTAACCTTCGATCCACTCCATTCTCAACGGACTGCACAATTCCACCAATCAAATCAATCCAATCCAATCCGGATGGGTCAGCTCCAGTACCCAATCCGAATCACCACTTGAATTCCCAACCCGGATGCCCAATCCAACCTTCAATCCACTCCAATCTCAACGGAGTGCACAATTCTGCCAATCAAAGCCGCAGTCCAAGCCGATCCCCCACGAAACCCACGAATCCAATCCACAAACCAGGTCCACAATCCAATCCACAAACCAGGTCCACAATCCAATCCACAAACCAGGTCCACAATCCGATCCACAAACCAGGTCCACAATCCGATCCACCACGAAATCCGCAATCCCAAAAAAAAAACAAAAAAAAAACGCAATCTAATCCACCACGAAATCTACAATCCAGATGGGAAAATAGCTTACTTGGTTAAGAGTGCTGGTCTGTCACGCCAGAAGTCGCTAGCTCGAATCCCGTTTTTTTTTTCCCCCGGAGGTATGGCTGAGCTGGCTGAAAGGCATTGGTTGGGCGAAGCCGAAGGGCTGACTTTAGTGAGTCACGCCTCTCACGGTCTCACCTCACGCCGAGCGCACCACGAAATCTAACCCACCACGAAATCTACAACATCATCCAACACAAAATCCACAACCCGATCGAACACGGAATGCACAATGCACTTCGCAGTCCAATCTAGTACGATCTGTGATCGGTTTCATGCAAATGCCATGTGAGCCATGTTGATTGACTGACGTTTATCCGATCCCACATTCTACTGTCATTCCATGGCCCCAGTCCAATTTCGCAGGGGTGTTTTTTTTTGCGCATGGCCCCATTCCAATTTCGCAGGGGTGTTTTTTTTTGCTCATGGCGCCTGTCCAATTTCGCGGCGGTGTTTTTTTTTTKCCCATGGCGCCAGTGCAATTTCGCAGGGGTGTTTTTTTTTTTGCCCATGGCGCCTGTCCAATTTCGCAGGGGTGTGTTTTTTTTTTTGCCCATGGCGCCTGTCCAATTTCGCAGTTTTTTTTTTTTTTTGCCCATGGCGCCTGTCCAATTTCGCAGGTTTTTTTTTTTTTTGCCCATGGCGCCTGCCCAATTTCGCAGGGGTGCCTTTTTACACCTACTACTTCTTCGCGCCGGAGTTAATCACCACCGACTCCACCAACTTAGAACTCCCAGGCGTGTTCTATTCGGGGGTTGAAGACGTTACCGTCTTCCCCCGAATAGAACGTACGGTCATTATAGCCGTATATGGCTCACCTTTCTGTCCAGATGCACCCAAAAAAAGGATCGCTCGTTCTATTCGGGTGACGACGGTATATTTTCATCCCTATGCATCAATCATCAGCGCCGAGTGCCTGTACCACTCACTCACCAGCGCCCATCAGATCAATTTCCTTCCTTGTCCTTGGCCATCCTCCCTCTCTCTCCCCATCACTCTCAATGCTGCATGCATGCAGACGACTGGGTTCCTGCAAACATCACGTGAAAACTCTCTTGAAGATTCCATTTTCCAAATCCAGAAACCTCATATGAAAACTCACTTGAAGATTCCATTTTCCAAATCCAGAAACCTCATGTGAAAACTCACTTGTGAAAACTAAAATCACTTCTGAGAACTAAACTCACATGTGAAAACTCATGTAAAAAGTCGATGTGAAAGCTCACGTGGAGACGCGTGTGAAAACGCACTCCTTCTCGATCGGCAGGCAGGGGAGGGAACGAAGTGCTATCTCACGATTCCTTTTTTTTTTTTCTTTTCCTTTTTTTTAAATTTCCTCGTTTTTTTTTCTTCATCCCTTTTTTTAAAATAACCTGAGTGTTTCTGAAAAGGATCGCTTGATTCCTTACCTTGCTTAATGCTATGAATCGTCTCTTCTTCCCCCAATTAGAACGTACGTTCATTTTCGCTGCATCTGGGCGGGAAGGTGTGAGCCAAATGCCGCTATAATGACCATACGTTCTATTCGGGGGAAGACGGGTAGGCTGATCATAGCGATCAGGCCGGGATAGGAGTGTAGTAGAAAAGTGGTGGATTAGAAAAAAGAGGTCATAAGGCAAATAGAGGAGAGATGTTGGGACGTCTGTTTAAATAGCAGGCTATTCTTTTTCTTTTTTTTCCCCCGGGGGGTGGGAGGGGGGGTTTGGGAGGGGGGGGTGGGAGGAGGGACATTTAGCGATATAGGGAAACTTGATGTAGCATCCTTGAAGCGGATTTCGGCGTTGTACAATGATTTTTTTCTTTTTTTAATTGAAAATTTAATATTTTATTCAATTCATTCTTCCGCAATTTCGGATTTTTTAAAAAATGTGAATTTGAAACAAATTTGATCCGTGGACTTCAGCTTTTTCATTGAAATTGATAATTCATTTCTGTGCCAGAATGCAAATGGAGCCAGGGCCATAAGGACCTGGTTTACGAAAGAAGGGGGGAAGAAAAACAAAAACAAAAAAAAACGACTTGCTTTCTCGGAAAAACAATTCAAAAAACAATTCAAAAAACAATTCAAAAAACAATTCAAAAAACAATTCAAAAAAAAAATCAAAAAAAGAAATCAAAAAAAAAAAAATCAAAAAAGGAGTTAATTTATGTTCTTGAGAAGCGTTTAAAAATGTGTGTGTAGTTCCTTGGCCAAAGCGGTAATTAAAGGCGACGGCCTCCTTGAGGTATCGGGCCTGCGCGCCCCACTACCCAGCGAATGAGCAAAATGAGAATGAATATTTCGCTTAGAAGTTAGAACATGAAAAAAAAAAGAAAAAAAGACACCGGCGCCATAACTTTCGTCTTTTCTGCAGTTTGGTGAGAGGTGGTGGGCGGAGGCCCATAATCGTCAAATTGACCGGCTCCACGTAATTCAGTGTTTTTTTTTTTTTTTTTTTTTTGGATTGGTTATTTCATTCATCTTATTCTGTATCGGGAATTGAACGCAGGTCTGTTTATCAACAGGTATATATATCTGGGTTTACCATTGACAGCCAGAAAGGGGGGGCCTGGGTAATTTCAAATTTGTTATGATTTTTTGAATGTTTTAAATTTTAATCAACCAAGGCGCATTCCTTTTGTTTTCTTCTTCTTCTTCTTCTTTTTTTTTTTTTTTTTTTTTCAGTTTTGGGAAGGTATACGCCCACCCTATATCATTTTACAACATGCCATTCACTACTCATCTCCTTCCATGGGGATCCGAACCTGTGAGCTGTTCATTACCAGTCATGCATGTGTGCCATGCCGTTCAGCCACATGGGTTGTGCCTACATCAAATTTATCATCAGATTTGTTATTATTATTATTATTATTACTATATTATTATTACTATATTATTATTACTATTATTACTTTATTATTTTATTATTTTCTGATCATAATTGTGAATGTCATCATCAGTGCGGATGAGCATTTTAATGGTGTCCAGGCCGTGTTTTGTGAGAAGTAAAATGATAGACACTGAGCCCTTCCTTTCTTTCTTTCAGAATTAAAACGGTAAAATAAAAGAAATGCAAAATTGCGAATACATTTTTATTTTTCAAATCGTAGTACTTCCCTGATCTTTTTCCATGTCAGCTGAGAAATAAAATGGTAAAATGAAAGAAATTCAAATAGTAAACACATTTCTCAAATCTTAGCACTTTTCTTCAGCTTTTTCCATTTCAGCTGAAAATTAAAGTGTCAATAAAATAGAAAATAAATGCAAATAGTTAAATACATTTTTGAAATCTTAGTACTTTTTTTTAGCTTTTTCCATTTCAGCTAAGAGTTAAAATGCTAAACTAAATGCAAATACATTTTTTTTCTCAAATCTTAAGAGGCTTAGTTACTTTCTTGAGCTTTTTTTCCATGTCTCTCCGCCTGCCTCGTGATATTAATCTCAGTGTCAGCAGCTTTGCATCCGTGCTTTGTTGCACCTCGACGCCGGAGGGCCTTTCTCCACTATACAACATTCCCGAATGTATCTGGTCACCAATGGGGTATCTATGCATTCAAAATGTTTGCTTAGTCCCAACGTATCTGTCACTGAAACAGTGTACAATGCTGTGTAGCGGAGCGAGGCCCAAAGACAAGTGTGTGAGATTCGCACCGCCCACGTGCGTGTTCTTTTTTTTTTTTCCTTAAACTTCATCAGGGATTTGAACCTCCGACGTGTGTGAGATTTGCACCACCCAGTTGTGTGTCCTTTGTTCGGTTCCCTCGGGGATTTGAAGATCCGATAAGTGTGTTCGTTGTTTTATGTCCTCAGGACTTAACGTAGGACGGGGAAGTGAATCTTCTTTTATGTCTGTGAACTGAAGTGTGTGTGCTATTTTGATCACTGGTTTAGGTTTGCATGTTGCTCGTTCCATTTGCCGCGGTTTGACGGTGTCGCGTTTGCACGGTGCGATGTTCTGGTCTGTTGCGGGCTTGGCTGGTGAGGCAGGGATTGGGTGTGAGGAGGGCATATACCATCAATCCTGATGTGGTGTACAGGAGAGCAATGAGGATGATCAATACTTCGCCTGCAGTTCTGGAGGTTATGGGTGCGCCTTTGACAGGAACTGACGTACGGGCGTACGTCATGTCGGGCGGCCGCCTACGGATAAAAAACTTCAAGCCAAGGCTGAGCACAAAAAGAGTGTACCTGATATTCCCAGTGCGAGGCGCAGAGCGACGTGGACTTGTCAGTGTGGAGGCAAAAAAGAAGAAGGGAAAGGTACCCGCGGCTCTCACTCGCCCACGTCTCCACATGCATGTGTGCTTGTTAGCTCTGTTGTTCTCTTGTCTACTTCTCTCTCCCTCCCTCCCTCCCTCCTCCTCCCTCCCTTCCCTCTACCTCTCCCCCTCCCCCTCCCTCTCCTCCTCCTCCTCTATATCTCACTGTGATTCCCTTGTCATCCTCCTTCCCCAACACATCTCACTGCCATTCCTTTGTCCTCCTCCTCTCTCCCTATCTCTCGCTGTGATTTCTTCATCATTGTCCTCTGCCTCTTCCTTTTCTTCTTCCGCTCTATACCTTCTGTCTCTTATACACATCTAGATGTGTATAAGAGACAGCCTCTATATCTCACTGTGATTCCCTTGTCATCCTCCTTCCCCAACACATCTCACTGCCATTCCTTTGTCCTCCTCCTCTCTCCCTATCTCTCGCTGTGATTTCTTCATCATTGTCCTCTGCCTCTTCCTTTTCTTCTTCCGCTCTATACCTTTATGTCTAGCCTTTTGGCAGATCTTCCCAGAGGCAGAACCATTGTATTGCAGATGTTCATGATGGACAAGGATTTGCAAAGTTCCTTTGCCGCGGTACTGTGCTAAATTACTGGTCAGCAGGTTGGTTAACTTGCCATGGACATAAATAGCACCAGTGGTTCTGTGCTATGTTTTGTGCTATTTTTTGTGCTATGTTCTGTGCTTTTTTTTGTGCTATGTTCTGTGCCATGTTCTGTCCTATGTTCTGTGCTATGTTATGTGCAATGTGCTGTGCTAAGTTAGCGACCCTGTGCATTTTACAATCAGGCCCACTGGTTCCACCGTTATGGGCCGTTTTTTTAATAAGCACTCGTGCGTGTGGTTTTGAGGGCGGCCGCAAGGTCACCTCTATGGGGAAACAGGCATGAAGCGTAAAGTATGCTGAAGAGTCAGTGTACTTGGACGGTTGATTCTTGCTCTTAATTTACCCCTAGCCACAAGTCATTCCCCCAAACTGACCTGTTACAACCCAGTGTATGGGGATCATCCGCTTAGCACACAGCACTTAGTGTGGATTCTCGTTTAGATCACACATCACTGTAGCTCATCAGTGAAGCAGTTAGTAGTGAGGAGGAGGACTTTGTACTTCGTACCTTCCTTTTCGAGGTGTGATTTCTTTGTGCTAAATTAGCACGAATCCCTTATAGCACAAACATAGCACACATAGGTGGGACCTGCCCGCCCCCCTGTGCACCAGCTTCATGCCAACTTAGCACAGATATAGCATTGGCAGCCTGACCCTGAGCCTGGACGTGTGTGTTATTAGCAGGAGCTATCTGTAGGAGCATGTTAGAAAGGGGTTGGGGGTGTTGTATGCTGCAGAAATGCAGAGTGTAATTCTTCTTCTTTTTTCTTTTTTTTCTTTTTTTTCTTTTTTTTTTCCCCATTCAAAACAACCCCCTCCAGTGCTAGAGGTGCTGGTAAGAGCAAACACCGCTAGCACCGGGGGATAGGTATTTGGAAAGATAGGGGTGGTTGCTGTGGGCACAGATAGCTGCTAAGTGATGTGATTATTTCCTAATCTGTCTGTCACACTATCGCTAAAAGACTACCGGTAGTCATCTAAACCCTCAGAACATTTTCTTAGTTATTGTTATTGTACATGATTGTTCAAATCAGGTTGGACCATTTCTCGGTTTTTGTGTCCATTGTTGTGCAGAGGCCTCGCGAATCTGCGCTCTCTTTATCTTTCCGGAAGGTTGTCTTGGAGGACCAGAACCTTTGGAAGATTCCTTTGGTTCTTCTTTAATCGTTTTGCTATTTTCAAGTATTTTGTTGTTTTTGCTCAGACTAGATAAGGAAGTGCGACTTCGCGTCATGTTAATTAATATAACAAGCTCTCGATCAATCGAAAACACGACCAACTGACTTTAAAAAATAGCGAATTATTTAGTTAAATAACTTCGCATGGGTTGGTGATTTCTTGATGGCAGCGGTGTCAACATTTCTTATCTTACTTGTTATGCAATATTATTATTTTCCATGCATTTGCATTTTCCCAAAGCAGCCCTTTGGACTTTCTGTGGACTATATGCGTTGTTTGGTCTGCAGCGGTGGTGGATGTGTTTTTTTTTTTTTGTTTGTGTTGTTTTTTATCCGAAATTCAGAAAATCCAGAGTGAACGACGGGTTGCGCACGAGTAGACAAGGTTCTTGAAGATTAAGCTGTGTTCTTTCTGAATTGTGAATCTGATTCAATGATATATGTATGCAAATACTGTGCATTATCTAACTATACATGGTACCTGGTCGGCATGTCCGTTTGCCTGCCTACGTGCCTGCCTGCCGGCCGGCTTGCCTGCCTCCCTGTCTATGTGTGTGACACTGTTGCAGTATGAGTTCAAGTTGGTTGCTGTTGACGTGCCCACTGCCGGAGCGGAGCAACGGTTGTTCTTGATAGGAGATGAGGCGATTTACAAGAGCGGGGGAGGTTTGATTTCGGAGCTTCGGGATCCAATCGTGACAGCCATGAGAGCTCAGAAGGAATTTGAAGATGAAGACGACAAGGAGGAGGAGGACGATGAAAGGAGGAGGAAAGCGGAAGAGAAAAGGCTGGCGGAAGAGGAGGAACAGAAACTGAAAGATGCTGCGTCTGTGGAAGAGGCCATGCGATCACAACGGAAGCAAGAGGGGGTAGTGGAACAAGTAACAGCAAAGGCTGTGTAGACATCCAATGATCTGCCGATGGCTGACCGTGGACTTGTTCCTGCTCTCTCATCCCAGTATTCATGCAAATCAACTCGACTATCTCGACATCAAAGAAGCAGTGTAGTTGACATGGACCGCAGAAGAGCAATTAATGTGACACAAATGGAAGTGAAGAAAGTGAAGTGAAAGGGAGGGGCAATGGCAAAGGCTGTGGAGGACAGCAGACTGTGTGTGGACAATTGGTTTTCAGTGTAGTTGTTTTCAACATCTTATTCATTTGGTAGAAGATGATGCCAGGCAAATTTGTATGTGTATGTCTGTGTGTGTGTGTGATGGAGAGAGAGAGAGAGAGAGAGAGAGAGAGAGAGAGAGAGAGAGAGAGAGAGAGAGAGAGAGAGAGAGAGAGAGAGAGAGAGAGAGAGNGAGAGAGAGAGAGAGAGAGAGAGAGAGAGAGAGAGAGAGAGAGAGAGAGAGAAATGTGGGGGGGGGGGGGATGGTTAAGCAACGGAGTGTGTTGGGCCTAGCTTGTTAATAGTAGTTCGCTTAAAGAAAGTTTTGATTCTAGTGAAGTTCACTTGTAATGTGTAGTTTGTCAGTCTGTGCTTGGGCAGATCATAATCAGCGTTATCTTAGTATGGGGTGCCTTTTGTCGTGCGGCAAGTGTTAGTTTCAGTGTAGTTTGTTCCATTCTTAATCGGAGCTGTGGACAAGGCAGCTTGGATGCTATATACTGTCCAACAAAGTTCGCATTCAATAATGGCAATCACATCCTTTCTCTCTCTCTGTTTTTTAACTTCTTTTTTTTTTTAATCCTTTCTCAAATTTGTGGTAGTAGTAGTTTTAGCCTTGCCTGGAAGTCCAGGCGACCGAGGGCATACCACCCAGGCAGATGCCTTGGGGCTAGATCAGTACGCTGAATGTTTTATTTAGTGGTGGAGAGTTAATGTAGAGAGCGATTCATAAAAATCCCCTTTCTTGTGTAGAAATGGCCTGACTCTAGCATTCACCCTCACGTCTCTTCTTGGAAGAAAGGAGAAGAGAGCCCTGTCGCATGTCCTGTGAAGTGCATTTCTGTGACCGACAGACTTCTCAACAGTGCTGTTCTCTTCAAGCACAGACTCCACTGCCCCAAGTGCTATTCTCTTCAAGCACAGACTCCACTGCCCCACTTCTCTCTCTCGTGTCCTCCTTCAACTACCAGTGGCCCCGACAGCGAACTGGGGAGAGTAGTATAGACAAAAGCACTGGGCATGTTTGGCATACAGCAACACAGGAGGGTTCCAGGGATGCAGAGAGAAAGAGTACCATCTGCTTTGTGAGCAAAGAGGACGGGTGCACCCCAAAGGGAGGTACTGGTTTTGATCAAACCCTGTCGAAGAAGCTCCTCAAGCTGACGCTTTCGTTCCTTTGCCTTGGAAACGGAGAGTCCTTAGGGGGGGGCATATGCAATTTTACGTGCCCCAATTTTTATAATTCTCAGTTCGCATCGTATGGAAAGTTGTGGATGAACATCATGGATAGAACAGCTGCCACTGTCCTTGGGAGAAAACTAGGAAAAAGAACAAACCAAGCGTGCCAAAGAATCCTGGCTCACACCAGATGTGAACTTCTCCCCAAGAAAAAAAAACCATCTGTCCTCCATGTTGGGACCCAGAGGGCCCAACCGCCCAGACTCAAAAAGGGCCCCAGGGCTGTCGAGTCGTGTTGACTTGCACAGCGCCTCATTCTCGGGAAGGCCAGCGGTGCAAGAAGGCCCGCGCAAATTCAGGTCAATGGTGGTGTAAAAATTAAAAACTAGAAGCTAGTAGATGGTGAAAAAGAAAAGAAGATGTCCCTTTTTTAAAAAAAAAATTGTTCTTATACAAAGGGCTATGCCCCATTGCCAAATCTCTGCCAAACCCCAACCTGTGTGTGAAATTGGGCTAGGACTCTGCTGCCCATTTGAAGTTCAAACGTGTAGTGGTTAGGAACGGGCCTGGTACCCTCCACTTCTTCATCAGCAAGTTTGTGTATTTCTCTTCTGCGTTTTGTTCTTGTCATTTCTCATAGTGAAAAAAGGGAGCTAAGCGTTTGCGGGGAGGTTGGATGTGGGTTCCACGTTAAATGGTTGTGCGGGAACACGCAGTTTAACGTGGTAAAACGCGCTCTGTGGAAAGCCGTGGAGGGGAACTTGGGGTGTGGGGGGGGGGGCGGGTTGCTTCTGAGTGGCTGGGGTTGGGGTAGTTGTGCAAACACCCATGCTTTTTTTTTTTTTTGGAAAATGGGGTTCTGCGTTAAATGGTTGAATGGGTGTTTAACCCACGTCGAATCCGTCTTGAATCCCCTGCTAGAACGCGCTATGTGGAAAGCCGCGGAGGGGAACAGGGGCGGGGGGGGGCCCAAGTGGGTGGGGTTGCGGAAGGGGTAGTAGCGCACCCCCACATGCATTTAATTTGTTTTTCAATAAGTAAATAAATAAATAGCCCTGACGGGGTTGGAAAGGGGACTGGGCGTGCAGTGATTTCATGCGCCCGCATGCCTAGTATTGTGGGGGTGGGTGCTCTGTGCAAGTTCGCCCAGTTTGCACCGTGGGGATCCCGTTGGCATCGGCCATAAAGTTGGCCGAATCCAGGCCCCGGTTACTTTTTGACAAAGCTCGCAGTGTGTGTGCGTGAGTACACTCGAGAGAGAGAGAGAGAGAGGCTCAAGCACGCGTCACACGTGGAGGGCGCACGAGTGCACACGTGTGTGCGTGTGTGTTTGTGTGTAAGAGAGAGAGAGAGAGAGAGAGAGAGAGAGAGAGAGAGAGAGAGAGAGAGAGAGAGAGAGATGTGCGTTGGTACGTTGTTGCACGTGCGTGCAAGCACCTCTCTTTTGCGGGTGCCAAGTGTCACGTGGCTGCATGATTTCACATTTTTGACGGAGCCACAGCTGCGGAAGGAGACAGCAATGGACACGTGGCAGTAGGTGCAGGGCAACCTTGGGGTGATGTGGCGGCGCAGTGGCAACGTCCGGGGGCGTGACGGGCAACGCAAGGTGGTGTGGCAGCGTTTAATGGCGGTGAAGTGTGGTGTTCAATGTTTAGTTGAACACCAGTCAACACGACCCGGGGGGGTGCTGGGTTAGAGTGGTGGGTGCATGGGAGGGGCTGTTTTAGTGAGAGGGAGTCAAGATGCCTCTCAAACAGACATGGCAGTGCAACGATATCCCAGATAAGGAGCAGGTTCTGTTCAAGAGGAGGAGCGTGGCGTACAAGTACATCTATCTGCCTGGGGCAGGCGGTGGGCAGCAAGAATGTATGAATCCTTCGCTACAGCTTCTACCAGCATGTGTTCCAGGGAACAATGTTTCAGACCGCTCGCCACTTTTGTTGTAACTGCTGCAGAGGATGGATGGAGGTGGTTAATTTGGAGGTGGTTCATTCATGTTGGTGGTCATTGAGCGGGGTCAGGATCTTGTCCATCTTGTATGGTGTCCCTGCGTTACTATGGGCAGCACTTCACCGACAGGGTCATTAGGCTGGTGCAAAGTCGTATTCAGCACATGAAGACTATGTGGCTGTTTGAGCATGTTCGTGTTCGTGTTCAAACACGCACATTAGAAGTGTGTGTGTGCATATTCAAAGCGCCACGTGGCACAACATGGGAAGAAAATTCCCGTGTTTGTGTGTGTGCGTGCATGAACTGCGTGTGCGTCGGCATTGATTTGACAATATATATATATATATATATATATATATATATATATATATATATATATATATATATATACCCCTCGTTTGTTGTCCTCTTCTCTCTCTCT